AAATAGAAATGAATGAATGAGAGCAATAATGATAATCATGGAAAAGAGTACCCAATTTTAAAATTTTATCTTGTCTTTATAATTTGCAAAAAATTATTTTGATCTCTGCCACATAAAACATCTGAGAGCTAAGAGGCTTATCAAGGTTGAAAAATGAGAATTCTCATTGATGTCTACAATTCTCGGATTGTTTACTTTTAAGAGGAAACCACGCAAGTATCTCCTTAAAGTTCTTTGTCAGCTAAGAAAATTCACGGAATTTTTCCATTTTTTTTTTTTTTTAATTTAATTTTTTCTTTGAAAAAACTAAAAGAGTGTGAAACATGAGTGGAGATAAAATTTGCAACATCGCAATTGGAGACAGTACGTGTTCTCCGACTGTAGCCACCGATATGACGAAAGCTGCTTTCGACACTTACATCCTCATTATGAGTGGTCGATTATGGGTTTTTTTATGTGATCGGATTGGAATAACTCTTTCGCCCCACCTGCAAGTGATATTGCATATTCTCCCAATTGAAGGAAATTTTTATAGCCGAATCGTGTGAGAGTTGTCAGAGATGCGAGGTAAATTCGACCATGTTTTGTATTAAGGAATCACTATTTCTGGATAATTCCTTAAAGCTTTTATTGGAATAGGAAAAATATGTAATAAAGAGGACGTATGTTGTTTCTTGAACGGAACAGAGATAGTGCTTCTTCATTGTTGAAAAATTTAGGTCAATTCTCAATTGTCATTCAAAATTCCACAGAAGTTTCCTCAGTCAGTTCTAAATCATTTTCTTACGCAACCAAAACAATTGTTTAGTGATACACCCGTGAATTACCTAAAGTGCTTCCCTTCCAGACTTTGGATCGCTGGGAACCAACGAATTTTTTAAATGAATGACTATAATTTTACTCGTGGACGACATTTTCGGATGGATTGGATCATAAGCTTAGTGAAAGGAACTTCCGAAATCATGCTGCGAAAAACATTATTACCTAGTGTTGCATTATTTCCCTGGGGAGAAGCCCTGGACCCGGGACCACCCCCCCCCCCCCCCCCCCCCCCCCCATCTTTTCTCTCTTCATTGTCGCCCTATCCAAATGATCTGCATTCATTACGCGAGGAGGAGCAAACTTGTTTGACTCTTTAGAAACAGGATGAGTGCCATTGATTTTCCAATGAAGATAGGTGCTTTTATGGATAAGCCAGAAAATTTATAGCTCATAGTGCGTTGTTGCCGAAATTCAAATGGCTTCTTCAGAGTAACGCTCTTAAGAAGCCGCATTCCGCCTTTGCCGGCTACCTACCGAAAGGGGTAATTTCCCTCCCCTTTTCAAGAGGAACTGTAAGACAATTTTTAGATTTAAAAAAGTAGGTATCAGGTAAATCATTTTCCCTTGGAAAACCAATAAGAGTGAAAATTTTGAAGCACTTGTCATCAGGGCCGGTTACCTACTTGCCGCCCATGGGCCGCTAGTATTTTGCCGCCCCCTTCTCATTCGTTTTGAAACATCAATGAAAACCATCAAATGAACGTGCCAGCGGGGGAGGGGTGCATAAGACGCGTTTACTGGTGTAGAACACATTTTTTGGGAAAGCCCTGTCAACACTACTAGCAAAAGTTCACGGAACTTTGCGCGAAAGTTAAGTTTCGTAAACCTATCTCCTTGTGGACAAGGCCCTCCATTTANAAAGTCATTCGAAGATCATTCAAAAACCTCTTTGACAAGTTACAAAAACTTTTCGTTAACAATAGTGTCACACGGTACTAGGGATGGTTACTTTTTAACGAACCTTATATTTCCCTGACTCAGTCCTAAATTATAGAAGTATGCATTAATTTTCCAGCGATCCAAATAAAATCAGTGAATTAAAAGTTATACGCATATATTATGAGATATTCGGATTTGTTTCCTGCAATATCGCCGCGCGAAGCGCGGATTGACTGCTAGTAGGAAATAAACGAAAAAATTATGAAAGAACAAACATAAATGTGTTTTATTAATTTTAACTTCCGCCGCCGCCGCGCCGCGCTGACCGCACTGTGCTTGGCGCAATGCGTGAAGTATTCATGCAGTCTTGCAGGCGCTATGCGTTTCACGTCGACCGCTGCTGACTGCACTAATTGTAAGTTTGACGCAATGCGTGAAGTATTCATGCAGTCTTGTAGGCGCTATGCGTTTCACGTCGACCGCTGTTGACCGCACTGCGTTTGACGCAATGCGTAAAGTATTTCAAATGTGGACTCTTCATAATGGAGCATATAGGTATTCCGCCGTGTGAAATCAACTTTAAGAGCTTTTTATTTTTAGACTAAGTAAGAAGAGCAGGTTGATTGAAAAAAAAACCAATGGCGTTGCCAAATTTCTTTTAGTAAATCACGAATTTTCGAGAAAAATTGAAAATATTTTTCTTCCAATTTTTCAGATAATTTTGATTTCACTTAAAGTTCCTTAAAAATTCAAGGAAAAATATTCACAGCTTTCCTAAAAAAAAAAAAAAAAAAAATTACCGAAGGAAATTTGGCAACTCTCAAGTGTTCGTTCATACGATGTTCTTCCTTATTAGCACGGCGGAATACACATTCGCACTTCTAGCATAACTTCATGCCTTTTTTTTTGGCGTTGTAAATCATAACGCGTATTTCTCTGGCTATGGACCATTCGTTGACTTCTTCGATTAGACTAAAATATGACTCCTTAAATGTTTGCCCCCCCCCTCCCATTCCCATCTCTTCGAAGTGTCAATCGTTTAACGCCTTCGATGTCTCTCAATTCAGCGCACAGAGTGAATGATTTTAGGTGTAAGGTGTGCCCGAAAAAGTTGGGCATGCCCGTGTCCGCCCTTTCTCTCTCTCTCGCTCTCATAATATTCGAAGTGAAAGTGGGCTCACACCGACACGAGCACGTACATCTCATCTGTGTGGAATTACCTCTCTCTAGGCAAGTTTTGGCACATCGCAATGCTCGCGTATCCGTGCGATGCACCCGTTTCACTCGCGAAATAAAAATGTGTCAAGTGGGTGGCACGGCTCGGTGGGTCGACCGCAGAACTATTCTGCCGTGCTAAGTAAAAACGCCGTACGGCATTCGAATGTTGCCGAATTTCTTCTTTAAAAATACTTAATTTTGAAAAAAGTTATGAATATTTTTCCTCGAAATTTTCAGACTTTTTAGATCAAATTATGAACGAAATACTGTGAAAAATTGAAGGAGAAATATTCAAAAATTTACTTGAAAATTCGTGATTTGTCAAAGGAAATTTGGCAACGCCTGATGGCTGATACGGCGTTCTTACTTAGCACGACAGTATTCGCACCACTCGCGGTTTTGGAGTGTCACCAGAACGGATCGCTCAATCAACTCCTCCCCCTCTCCCTTTCTCTATACTCCTCCCAAGTCCGCACCCTTTCGTTTTAAGCAGCCGATATGGCAGAGAAAAGTAATTATCACTCTCCTGATTTTTCCTTTGCTACACTCTGCAGGGCCGTACGTAATTGGCGTGAGAGAATAATTTTTTCCAGAGGTGGATGGTCCTCTCAAAATGACGCAATTTGAGATTTTAAGAGAAATTTTCATTTAAACAAAAGTGTACAATTTTTTGGAACGATAGGGGGTGGAAAGCAAGGGGTCTCTCGCCCTGCTGCCCACATCTTACTCTAGGTATTCAATAATAATCGATGGCTAAAGTACGAAACCACGAATATCAGCTTGCGACGTTTGCAGACTTCCTTGTCATACTTCATTGTTTTCTCAGAAAACTTTCTCAATTTCTCTTCTCAGTTAGCCAAATATATTCTTCATAAATTTCAAGCTATGAATTGTGACTTATTTTTCTTCGAAAAATTGGAATAGGATCGGAAATTTTGAAACACCGTAGTGGAGATACGTGGTCTCGCACTTTGACCATCGATATGAAATCATAAGAGTAACACGTAACAGCCCTTGCCCCATGGATCGAAAATGTGATTTTCTCATTCTCGATAGATCTTTAGGTGCTCTCGTTAGTAAAGGTCAAGTTATTTTTATTTGGGCGCATTTGATAGCCAAAAAAGGAATTAGGTACCGCGGAGCTGCCCATTTTCGCCCCATTTAAATCAATTTAATTTTCCAGATATTTTCAGCCTCACGACGCACAGTGGATCAAATCAATAGGAGAGGTCGGACAAAAGTTGGAAACTTTAAACGCTCATAACTCCGTTTAAACAAAACTTTGAGGTCCTAAAAGTAGTTCCATTGGTCTTGCCGTGAAATTTGCCTCTAGAAGCACCGACCTTTAAAACCTTTAAAACCTTTAAAATGTGACGAAATAAACATCAAAATTTACGGTTTTTGTCAAAAATTTCATGTCCGACCTCTCTAACTAACTCAATCCAATGTGCGGCGGCACGTCTTAATATTATCGGAGGGAAAAAATATTTGAGAGGTATCATATTTGGATGGAAAGGAACACATTTAAGGGGCCTCGCGGTCCATATTCCGAAGCTGCCCAAAATGGTCCACCCTAACGTGATGCATTCGGGAGGTTCGACCGTGAAGCCCGAAGAAGGGGCGCCCTCTTAAGAGGTATGTGAACGCCCCCGCGGCCTTGAAATTGAACCGCGTTAAGCAAGGGAACCAAGCCACATCAGCAATCGCCAAATTGAAATGGGCAATTTATTTTTTTACAAGAGAACGTTTATGCGGATTCCATAGAAATTTTAAGGAATTTGCTTCGCACTATGCAGAAATAATTACTGAAATTTGCCCAAATATCCGCACGACCATTTTCATGTAAAAATTTAAAGTGCCCAATCAAATTTGGCAATAGATGATGTCGTCACTCAGCTTTCACTGAAAATTTCACTGAATTTTACCGCATCCCAAAGAAAATTCAGTGAAATTTTCAAACAGATTCAACCAAAAAAATGAAATTGCGGCGGAAATTTTGAAACGTCGCATGGCGCTTGTGATACTTTGGCCGGAAGGTGACGATATCAGCGATTGCCAAATTTGATCCGGCAATTTAAATTTTTACATGAAAACGGCTGAGCGGATATTTGGGCAAATTTCGGTGAATTTTCTGCATAGTACGAAGCGAATTCCTGAACATTTTCAAAGGAATCCGCATAAACATTCTCTTGTAAAAAATTAAATTGCCCGATTAACTTTGGCAATTGCCTATGTGGCTTGGTTCCTTTCTGCTTGACGCGGTCCAATTGGTCCTAAAAATGAAATTCCGAAAACTTACCAATGCTCGTTGGCGGTCATGTTCTCCCTGGCGATGAGGAACGTGACGAATTCCTGGAACGTGACGTCATCCCCCCAGAGGAGGGAGTGGTTGGTGGGGTTGGGGCGGTAGTGCTTGACGATGTGCCGTCCGAATCGGGACTGGAAGTACTTGGAGCTGAGCCAGTGCTGCTCGAGCTTGTTGCGGTAGGCCGAGAGGAGCCGCTCGAACGGGTGACGGACGAAGATGAACTTGGTGTAGGTGTCCAGGAGGAGTTGGGCCTCCTCCGGGTCCAGGTCGCTCAGCCGGGTGATGGTCCCGGGTTTGTGGGCCACGTCGGCCGGAATCGCCGACGCGTCCGAGGAATTCGACAGACCCGATAGAACCATCAGCACCCGCTTCCAATTTGTGCATGCCACCTGGAAACATACGAAGAAGCGGTCATTGTGGTGGCCAAGTAGTTTGAAAGGACAAGGAGTATAAAGGCACCCGAACAGATAACTATTCGCGCTCCAGGGTATGTTTTCTGCCTATGTGGCGAAAATGAAGGCGAAATTAAAGTGCCCAAGTAGAAGTGATCGTGATAAATTGCGATTTGAGTGGAGAATATATCGCGATTTCGTCACCTTCCGGCCAAAGTATCACAGGCGCTAACAAGCGACGTTTAGAAATGGTCGCCACCATTTTATTTTTTAACAGAGAAATTGTTCAACGAAGCTGTCCGAAAATTCACTAAATTTCTTTGTGCTGCCGATAAAAGTCAGAGAAATTTTCAAACAGAGGCAACCAACAATTACTCTGTGGAAAAATAAAATTGCGGCGGAAATTTTGAAACGTTGCATGGCGCTTGTGATACTTTGACCGGAAGGTGGCGAAGTAGAGAAAGGCACCCCCGTAGATAGATAACTATTTGCGCTCCTAGGTATGTTTGTTGCCTATGTGGTGAAAGTGAAGGCGAACTTAAAGTGCCCAGGTAGCAGTGATCGTGATAAGTTGCGATTTGATCGGAGAATGTATCGCGATCCTATCGACGTCGATTTATTGACATCTCATTGGATAAAAAATTGCAATAAATTGCGATTTCGTCAAATTTTGCTATCAAATCGCAATATTATCGAACAAAAAATCGTAATAAATTGAGATAAAATGTCGATATGAGCATTTACGCGATAAAATTCCGACAAGATCGAGGATAATTGAGCTCAGATGTTGATGATCCCAGCGATTATATCGCTAAGAAATTGTAAAGAATCGCAATTCAACTTCAAAATATGATGATTGCAATATAATGCTTTGAAAAATGTTACTCGAGTGGCCGATGTCCGTCAAAAGGTAAACGCAAGATCTGTTCCAGCGATTCCCAACCATTTTTGGCCGTGGACCACCTATTCGCTGAGAAAGGAGGCAGCAGGGGCAGGCCCAACAAGGCAGGCTACAGACCTCCCTGGTAAAAATTGGCAGTAGAATCTGTGTTCCAAGATACCATAGACCTACAGCCGGCTGTAAGATTCCTAATAGCTTCTACTGCCGGCAACACAACTTCTTACAGCCTTTTATAGCCGATGGCGATTAAGCAACAGCCTGGCGATAAAGTGTATGGTAAGAGTTACTAATTACGGATGCTAGGACTTAGTGAGTTTTTGGACTACCGCTCTCTTTTTGGGCCATAGTATCTTGATTTATTTTGCGAGGGAAGCTCCGTACTTTTGAAGGACGCCTGCCATTCCTAATATGTTGGAGCGCCTTAAATTTCGTATGATACTGTGCAATACCTCTGGTGTGAAATAGTTGCTTCAAGCGCCGTGGTACGCTGCGGCGCGGCGGGTGGCCAGCCAGTGCGCCGCCGCTCCGCTTTGTGTTAGGCTCTAATATTTAATCTCGTGGAGTCAGCGTTTTTCAACTCATGACTTTGAAATGTTTGCACATCCTGTATGGATTATTCTCATTGTAATTGATGAAAAAAAAATACGTTTTAAATGAAAATATAACGTGTGTTTTGTAAATATTAAGGTAGTCCCGTACCAAACTTAATGATTTCCAAAGCACACGAATTTCTACACAATTTCTTATAGCCACTTTTAGCCAATGGCGATAAAGTGTAAAGCCGCGGTGATAGGAACTATAGCCCGGCTGTATACTTTTTTATCGCTTCGTGTAACCCGGCCGTATGATTTTTTCCACTTTCTACAGCCAGCTATATGATTTTCTATCGCCGCACAATGGATCGAGACAAGGGGAGAGGTCGGACAAAATTTGGAAACTTCAAAAGCTTATAACTCCGTTGATACAAAACTTTGAGGTTATAAAAGTGGTTTTATTGGTCTCCTCGTAACATTTCCCTCTTAAAGCACCCCTTGAAATTTAAAATGTGACAAAGTAAACATCAAAATTTGCAGTTTTAGTCGAAAAGTTCATGTCCCACCTCTCCACTTGACTGATCCATTGTGCGCCGTCTTCAGTTGGCTATAAGAACTCCTATGGTATTTTGAAACGCAGCTCCTATCGCCAATTTTTACCAGGGCTACGTTAAGGATATACGTTACAAAATACAAGAAAGATTATCTGGGTACCTTAGGAACGTAACAGTAGAGTAGTTTATGTTTTCGGTCGACTAGAATGTGTTCGAGCAGCTGAGTGTCCTCCCGCATGTTCGTGTGCGCGTAATGACTAGAGTGAAGGCGGCACATGTTGTTCAAGTGTTCTTGACGCTCGAAGTAGACGTATCGAGCCAGCAACCAACTGTTGAGCGGTTCCTCTTCCAGGTCACCTGAAACACGAACCATCGACAAAGGTCAACCACATAAAGGCGTAAGTTAGTCGTCACGTAGGTAGTGGCGCTGAAGTCCATTAAATTATGTATGGAAAAATAGAGGAATTTCACCGTTTAGGTAGGAGAAAACAGCTTGAGATCGGCCCACAGCTGTGGATCGAGTCAATAGGAGAGGTCGGACAAAATTTGGAAAGAACGTTTATAACTCCGTTTATACAAAATTTTGAGGTTCTAAAAGTGCTTCCATTGGTTTCCTCGTGCAATTTTCCTCTAGGAGCACCCCTTAAAATTTAAAATGTGACTACATGAACACCAAAATATGCAGTTTTAGTCAAAAATTTAATGTCCGACCTATCTTATTGACTCGATCCACTGTGCGGCCACAGAAAAAAGGATCTTAATGGTCCATGAAACAAAATTTTCAGTAAACCGTTTTTTTCGAGTCGCAAGTAAAAAATCGGATTTTGATAGTTAGACCGAAATCTAATTCTGGTATCATGGCCGGATTTAAATACTTGCCGCCCATGGGCCGCTTGTATTTTGCCGCCCTCTTCTAATTCATTTTGAAGCATCAATAAAAACCATCAAGTGAACGTGCCGGAGGGAGAAGGGTGCATAGGACGCGTTCACTCGTGTTGGACACGTTTTTTGCGTAAGCCCTGTTAACACTACTAGCAAAAGTTCACGGAACTTCGCGCGAAACTTCAGTTCCGTAAACCTGTCTCTGTGGGGACAAGGCCTTTCATTTGTAAGAAATGAACTAGAAAATTAAGAAAGAACAAATATTAAATGTGGTTTAATAATTTAACTTCCACCGCCATGCCGCGCTGACCACACTGTGTTTGGCGCAATGCGTGAAGTATTCATGTAGTCTTGTAGGCACTGTGCGTTTCACGCCGCGCCGACCGCTGTTGACCGTACTGTGTTTAACGCAATGCGTGAAGTATTCATGCAGTCTCGTAGGCGCTAATATGTGTTACATGCCGACCGCCGCGTCGAGGGTTTCTCCTTTTCATCTCAAGTCCTCGTCATCATTTCTCTCTGCACCGCGCCGCTCCAGGCCAAATTGCGTGTTTGGTTTCTCTCTTAACTCAACTAATTAAAGGTGCGCAGTCTTTCACCGAAATACGACAAAATTAGAGATTAATGAACTCTCAGGAAATGAGAGATTTTGTCACCTTTTCTTGTTTGTAATTTTTTTCTGAATCCGATTTTTTTGTACCTGCATTTGAAAAAATTGCAAAATTTGTCGCGCCTTAATTTTGCCGCCATGGGCCACGGCCCATGTGGCCTTTCCCTTAATCCGGCCCTGTCTGGTATATCAAAGCAATTGGACACATTAATTCTAATAGAAAATATGTGAAAATGAATTCGCAAGCAAGGGAAATCGTTTTCATTGGGTTCGCACGCTTCACAGTGCCATTAGATTTAATCAATTTGCACATAGGCCGTTTTAGTATAAATTCATCCAATTTTGATCGTTTGTGAGAGCTGAGGTCCCTTCTGCCATGGAGGGTCACATACACATAGAAAAAAATTATTTTCTTGGATGCAGAAAACTGAAGGAACCGCTTCTATGGAGTGCATGAGGACTAACTTTTTTAGGTCGCTTATTTGGTGTCCGGTTACGATCGCATGGCATCAAATTGGTCAGGAAGTAGCTCATTTTCATCAAACTAAAATACACAAAATAAGAGTGTGATGTAGCAATGGAATTTTGAGCATTGAATTGGGGAATGGTGACATTCTTCAGAGATGCCATTAGAGAGGAGAGCTAACGGTCCCTATTCACGCGTCAAAGGCCGGTTTGTAAACGACAGAAAACTCTCGAGAGATATAGCATTTTTGAAATTTAAAAAGAACAAAAAAAATCATAGTTTCTATAGGAGTCTGACTTTAAGATTCAAAATACCCTCGATTGTACATTTTTTGGGAAGGAATCAGTCGTTGGAAGCTAGGAGAGTTGTGTAAACTGGTTTGGAGTACCGTTGCATCAAATGATAAGCATCCCGCAATACCCACAGTTTCAATGCGCTCCAATATATTATACCGTTATCAATTTATCAGCTATGTTCATGGATTTTCAGATACTTTTCGGGCAACGAGAAGTCAACTGAAAACTGCATTCAAAGGGGTGATAGTCCGAACGGCTTAATTGTATTGTGTAACGTTGTAAAATTCCATTAAATACTTTATTCACCTACTCGAAAAAGCAGTTTAAAATTTCCCTTGGAAATTTTTTGACGATTTTCTCAGCGATTGGACGAAAATTCCTTGAAATTTCCGATTTTAAACACGAACCCGTTACTAAATAAAAAATAAGGGTGCACGTCGAGTGAAACTTTGGAACGTTGCATAATGCAATCATGCCCTCCCCCGCCCTCACCCCCGCATGTGACTAGATAGTATTGTATCTTGAAAATGTACCTTGTCGGGACCTGATGAGGTTTTGGATTCGATCTATGTAGTAAAACGAGCTGGTCGACAGGAAGATCAAGCTGAGCAGGACGAATTTCAGGAAAGTCGTGAAAGCTGCCATCGTCCGTAGCGGGTAACTTTGACCTCCGTCATTATTACCGAATTTTAACACCACCCGAAACACACTCAAAAACAGAAAAAAAACACAAGCACACACACAAAATCGAAATTCGGCGGCCGGCACGTCGAAGAAATCCGTGATTTGATAGCCTAGATTCGAGGACTCGCCACGGAGATGTGTGTCTTACGAGTCATATGACGATCTCGAATCGGTGGAGAAGTAGGTCATCATCCTCCTTCCAAGGTCTGGGTCTTCTGGTCTCTTGGTATCTCCCACTTCCTGACTCCGCGCGCCGGGTCCGAGCCCC